GGGGAATTGGAGGAAAATAGTGTCAGAAGTCATCGAGTAAACGGCAGTGTAAGAAAATATATGGTGGAAATCTCACAGTTTTATAAAGCAAGGATTAGGGTGGCTATGCCACGCAAAGGACCGGCTTTGCCGCTGTGTTAATCACAGCACACGCTCCACAACGTGATGCCAGCAGAACAGGAAAAGCTGAGTGAAAACACCCAAACTCCAGCTTGATACTGATGGCTGTACACCCGGGTGTGTGCGCGTGCGTGTGTGTAGGTGTAGAAACACGGCAAGTTAAAGTAAGACTTTTGTTTTCCTACCTGAACACAGACAATAGCAACGACTGATATTTTAATCTAAAAGCAGACAGCCAGGCTAGAGTACAAAGTACAATAATTGACATCATTTCTCAAATACTAATAGCAAGGCCCACATACTTTTCCTGGAATAATCTTTAAGCATAAATTTGTAAGATCCTGTAGTGAGCTTTAGTTAAGGAAAGCATTGTGAATTATACCTTCCCTTTTCCAAATGCGTTTTTAAGTGGATGTATGATTATACACCTAATGGAACTTAGGGCTTTTAGGTAATCGAGCAACAAAGTCAATAATAAAAACAGAAATAGAGAATGAAAAATCAGAAATTATGAAGACTAGATGACTTTCATGCTTTTCTCAGTTTTAGGCTTTGCAAAAATATTAAGTAAATCAAGGATATGGAAGTAAAACAGAAGGGCAAGTTTCAGTGGTCTTCATAGATTTACTGTTAAGTTACAGATCAGAGGCTCTTTCTGATACTGGAAAAACTGACTCAGTAAAATGCTTAGAGAAATAACCTTTCTCAAAATTATAAAATATTTCTGGATAATACTAAATATTAAATCAAAGTTAAGGCTAGAAGAGATTAATTTCAGAGCTTAGAAAATGCTGAGGGCTGGGGTTACTTGGCAGTTCATCATTTTATAAGAAATATTTTTAATTATGCTGCTTAATGCCGTCAATCCACATTAGTCAGTTTTTCTTCTGTTCCCCTCCCCCGACCTGCCATAGGATTTTACCTAAGTATTTATTTTCTAAAACACAGTAACATGGTTGATGAAAATACAACTTTTCCTTTTCACCCTTTTACCTGCTGTCCCTCTTTCTTCCTTTAGAGATGCTAGCAAGGTCATTCACAAAGAGCAGCTCAGACATACTCCTGAAATCCTGCTGTAATGGGACATTAGTAGGTGACAATATTAACTGTTTGGTCTTGAAGTCTGCATTTGCCTTAGGAGTTTGGGTCTCAGCCATTCCTAACTGGCATTACTTCCTGAGGAGATTCCTACTGTTTGGTCTTGAAGTCTGCATTTGCCTTAGGAGTTTGGGTCTCAGCCATTCCTAACTGGCATTACTTCCTGAGGAGATTCCTAAGTTGTCCTGATTTGTACAATTTATCAGTACAAATTTGTACATTTTATCAGTTTTTGCAAGTTCTGAGTCTCCTCGGAACAGTTAAAAGTGATAAAGTAATCTCCTTTGATATCATTTTATCTTTAAATTGTTATGTTGTTATAGAATTTGATCATTTCGGTGTACATTAAGCTTTCTAATTTTTCTTTTTTTGTTTCAGTTGTAGCAAGTTTAATCATCCTCCATTTTTCTGGGGCAACCAAGCAAGGAACAGGTGTGTCTCTTTGGAAAAATGCAAGTGGAAGACCTCCAATCACTTGCATTTTCCTATTTTCCCCACATTCTTAATATTCCAGAATATCTGAGCATTTTATAGTGTGTATAATTGATTGGTTTTGACTAAGACAGCATTTAGAAGTTAATTTACTAATGGATATTGTAAGAATGTCCTCTCTATTTTTAGTTTTATAAAAAATTGGATAATGGCTTTAAAAAAAATTTTTTTTTTTCCAGAAAAGCAAAGCACCTCAGAAACGAAGTCTGTGCAGTGTGGAAGTTGGACAAAACATGCAGACGGAGGTGTCTTCACCTCTCCGAACTATCCCAGCAAGTACCCCCCTGACCGGGAGTGCATCTACATCATAGAAGGTGAGGAAGCCAGTGCCAGAGCTGGAGAAAACATTCAGCCAAATCTGGCTACCTCTAAGCTTTGGATGGACAATATGCATATACACATTACAAAAATTGGTTTTGGAAACCATACACATAAATACCTCTGAGTGAATCAAATAGCTGTAAAATCTGGGGTCCAGCTAGTTATTGAAATTATTAGTAATGGTTTATAAACAGGTAAATTCTGGGAAATAAAAAGAAATCAGCAACAGTTTATTTCGCAGTTCATGTAACTGATTTGGAATTCTACATTAATGGAATGGATGCATGGTTGGCATAATAGTACCTAATGTGTAACAATTTTGGCAACTAGTATTTTTTTGGCTTAGTAATTAGTAGAATAATGTATACATTTGTTATTTTTCTCTTAAATAATATGAAGCACAAAAAACATATTCTCGTCAGAAGTACATCTATGATCATATTTTCCAAATGTCAATCTGAATAGCAGTTGCCTTAGTCTGTGCTCACAAGTGATATTTTCGTACTTTCATGCCAAAGTCAGGATTCCAAATGATGATGCTTCTTTTCATCATTTTTTCCCCAGCTTGAAGGATAAAAAGTGCTGAAAAAGGGATTCAGTTCTCTTTGAACATTTTCCATTTCCATTACCCTTGTAGACACGGCTCTATTAAGGATGATACTGATACATGAACATTTCATCTAGTGATAGAAGTTTTCAGTATTATGTGTTAGTACTTAATAGCCCAAAACTTTCAACCTCCCCAACCCCTGTGTTCCCCCAACACACACACACACACACACACACACACACACACACACACACACACACACAGAGAT